TTTTTTTTTTTTTTTTTTTTTTTTTTTGTACCTCTCAACCCAACTATAATAATTCGTATTATATTTTTAAATAGTTTAAAAAATAATTATATAGTATGTTGTTTCCAAACTAGACACACACACGCGCACACTATGCAATATAATATCTATGCTTTATTTTCACCACAAAACAAACCAACCACCGAGCATCGAACGATGGCCGATGTTTTCAATCTTCCATATTAGAGATTCCTTTACATCCTTTTGTTGAACTCATACTACCTGTTATTATTATTTAAAAAAAGACAAACGAGATTACGAAGCTCTCTCTTATTTCATTAATAATTTATGTTTGATTTTGAATGAATTTCATTTCATTTGAATTACATTTAGTCAAGTAGTTGTTTTACGAATTGAAATATTCATCATAAGCTTGAAAATTTCGCTCTAATTTATTAATTTATATTAAAAACAAAACGATGTGTGTGTGAATTAATGAGGAATTTTGTGTATACTACGTTCTTTCAGCAGTCGACCAGTCAGATTTGGACTAGCTCTACCATGCACCTTGGAAAATAAGGAAAATGCAAGGCCTTACGTGATTCGAGAAGACGTCGATGGTGATGGCAGCGATGGACAGGTCCTTTACAGGGAGGATTACGATGATGAGAAAAGTAAGAATGAAATATTTAGTATAAAACAATGTTTTAATAAAATACGACGAGACGAAGTTTCGTATTATTTCAAATGAACGTTCGCGGGCAAAACTAATTATATATTCGCGTGAACGTCAGCAAAAACGTGTCCCGTCGTCCCAACGACGAAGTTATATAAATCTTTGAAGATAGAGTTGGCAAAGGGTTCAGTAGTATCGTCTCGATGTTTCTTGTTCTTCTTTGCATTATACATGTGCAATCTTTATGAAATCAAATGTTTAACATCCTAACATGAAAATTCATGATTTATTGTATTATTTTTATTGATTTCTTAGGAATCTCTATCGTGTAAAAACAGAATTAGGTGTAATAGGAAGTTGTTTGTCTTATTGCAGCTCGACTGGCAGCTAAGATTGCACGCAAAGAATCACTTTCGTTGAAATTAGCCCTCAGACCTGATAGACAGGAACTTATCAACAGAAATATTCTTCAATTGCAAACGGACAATGAGAGGCAGGAAACGAAGGAGGCTATTGGTGCTCGGCTTATCAGGTAAATTAATTCTTTTTGTTTTCCTTTCTTTATCTATAAATTATACGTTGCTAATTAAAAATGATTAATAACGAATGCGATATTAAATCATTTGAAATCATTTCAGGCGGCTGAGTATGCGTCCTACCCAAGAGGAATTGGAAGAACGAAACATTTTAAAAAGTAAGCTAAATCTCATTTTTCTCCATTCATAATTACATTTTTCAAATGATACTGACTACATTAAAAGAAAAATAAATAAATAGAGTACTACGAGTTCAAATTTGTTTGTTTTAAATCTATCGATGTACTAGAATCATAATTTATGTATTATATTTTTTTCCTTTTTTGTAGAACAAAGTCCTGCCGAGGAGAAGAAGCAGAAAGAAGAGAAAAAACGTTATCTTTTAAGAAAGCTAAGCTTTCGACCAACCGTTGAAGAACTTAAGGAAAAGAAGGTATTTTAAAAAGATAAACATATATACATTATATATCATCGTAGATGATGTCGTGTCTCAATCTTTTTTTTTTTGATAATCTTGCAGCATCTGGAAAAATGATGAGAAGTTATCGGTATAGAGATTAATTAACCTAATTGAATTTATCTTTTTAATATGTATATATTCGACAGTTTTTATCCAAAACGGTAATACTGTTATTATACGTGAATGAATATATATCTACGTAAAATAAATAAATGATAGTAAAAGTGGAGATATGATTTTCGTTAAGATAACAGTGAAAAGTAATATATTTTCTCTGATTTTCTAGATCATTAGATTCAACGATTACATCGAGGTTACACAAGCTCACGATTACGATAGAAGAGCCGATAAACCATGGACACGATTGACTCCTAAGGATAAAGCAGCTATTCGGAAAGAATTAAATGAATTTAAGAGTTCCGAAATGGCCGTTCACGAAGACAGTCGACATCTTACCAGGTAAATAAAATTAAATGAAGCTAAATAATTGTGACATATTTTTATCCCCGACATGTTCGATATTGTAAACATTATCTGATTTGGTTTTTAGGTTTCATAGGCCATGACAATTGCAATGTGTAAAGGTGCTACAGTGTGGTGCAGGTGTAATTGGTGAAAGTGCAGTGTGGTTGGCTCGTGTTGAAGCTGGATAAATCTGGTTTTGCGTCTACCGTAATGAAATAACGGGGAGTACACGATATTCGATTAGTGGGTCGAAGAAAAAGGAAGGAAAATACTTTGACGTTGCAAATCGTGATTTTGGTTAATCGGTCATTTGCGCATAGTTTATCTATTATCCGTAATCATCATCATCGTCATTGTCATCGTCGTCGTCGTCGTTGCCATCGTTATTATCATGATTTTCATATATAAATCGACGTTGTTCTCATCGTCATCCGGTGATTCATGACCAGCAACGTCAACTATACTACTTGTTTCAGCGTTCTAGCAACGCCAATGAAGATTGTGATAGGGTGATTTGCCTAGTTTTAAAGAAAAATAATTCATGGTAGATTACTCGTCGAAATATTACATGCTTTCCGAAGGGAACGTTCGCATCTACGCTCACAGTTATATCATTTTTTCAGATTTTTCTTTTTTTTTCTTTTCTTTTCTTTTCTTTTCTTTTCTTTTATTTTATTTTATTTTATTTTATTTTATTTTACTTTTTTAAAATACGTCTTCTTTCCCTTCTTCTTCTTCTTCTTCTTCTTCTTCTTCTTCTTCTTCTTCTTCTTCTTCTTCTTCTTCTTCTTCTTCTTCTTCTTCTTCTTCTTCNTTCTTCTTCTTCTTCTTCTTCTTCTTCTTCTTCTTCTTCTTCTTCTTCTTCTTCTTCTTCTTCTTCTTCTTCTTCTTCTTCTTCTTCTTCTTCTTCTTTTTATGCTTTTCTACCCTCATCCTTTTGCGTTGAATTATTTTCTTTTTACTTTCATAACGCGAGAGAGATTGTTGAATTAATTTTTAAAATATTTTTAATCAAATATATTTCATTGGACGTAATTTTGTGTCTTTGTGATTTCTCGTTAATCAATGCAATATTTTAATCATCACAAACGCGGAATTACTAAACGCTTATATTATTTAAGCGTAGCCAAAGGATTATCAAGTAGCTATTAACATTGTTTTTTTTTTATTAATTTCGTACAAGAACGTATATGCCGACGAGTCCTTATACACACATATACGAAAATAATAAATAACAAAATCATCTTTGTGAATCAATGTGGCTATTTTATATCACCCAGTATTGCTATACTCATAATAGTTAATTTTATCGAATTTAATTACTCTCATAAAAAGTATTAGTCTTTTCATCTTCATATTCTTTCAATATTTCTATCCTTCGACAAAATATTTTTATCTCTCCATTGATATAATAAATTATGTGTCATTTTCTTTATTATATAGGATAAAGATATAAAAAAAAAATAAATAAATAAATTATCAGAGATATCGTTCATATTTCAAGAAATGATGACAATCGATAAGAATATTTGATCAACGAACAAAAAGAAAAACGGAAGCTAAAGGAAAAACACGCATAATGAAAAAAAAAAAAAAAGAACAATTTTCCTTTACTGCCAGATATTATTTTTCATAGAGTTGCTGCCCTAAAGAGCAAACAGTTATGACTATTAAATATAAATGGATTTTCTCTGTTTGAGAAAAAGCTGTATATTTTGCAATTCTTTTCTGTACAGGAATATACATATGTATATTAGTGATTATAATTATCATTATTTCATTATTGTTTAATATTATTATTATTATTATTTTATTATCATTATATCATTATCATTGTCATCTTCATCATTATGACATTATTATTATTGTTGTAGTCATTTGTAGTGACTCTGCGGTTCTAATTAAGTTCGATCACATGTTTTGATTGCAAAAAAGAATTGAAACAAAAATTGCCAATACGTTTACGTACGTTGCGTTTTATATACGCAATGCATAAATATGTACATGAGAAACGTCTTTGTCATTTAAAGATCATCTAATTAAAAAATATTTTTGAGAGAAAGAAGAAAAAAAAATAAAAATAAAATAGTGAAAAAAGAATCGCCAAAAAATTGGAATTTTCGATTTATGACTATAATTTATGAGATATTAATGATAATGTAAATTATAGTCGCATTATGACTATAAATCATAAGAAAATAATAATAAAAAAAAAACGTTATATAATATATGAAAAAAAAAAAAAAGAAAGAAAATAATTGATGAACCGACGAAGAAATTAGAAAAAAAACTTTCGCACTTATTCCGTTTATTATAATCTTGCAGCTTGTGTAACTCCGCTCGTAGATTTTTAACTCTTTCCATGTTTACCCTGAATTACGGGTTTTCTATTTGCGGTATGATGATATATTTTAAGAAGAACAAAAACATATTTAAAGAAAATAGGAATGTAAGAAAAAAAGAGAAGGAGAAAAAAGAAAACAGGAAAGAATACTCTTTAGGCAATGTAAGTTCTGAAAAAAAAAGTATGATACGAAAAATAAGATATATTTCATTTTGAGTATTGATGATTAATGAGACTGCATTCTCTCTGCTTGCATGAATCCTCTGTGGATGTATTTAAGGATGCTTGGGAGATACAATCGGAGATAATAGTGCCGAAAATTTGAAATTCGTGAATATCTACGTTTTACTGCATGTTATGAAATAAATTAATTAACGTCAATGCTAGAGAAAAGAATGTATAATTAAAAAAAAAATAAAAAAAAAAAAAAAAGAGACAATTTTACCCCCCAATAACGTTGAATTTAATAAGAAATTATAAATGATATGAAAAAATACACTCAGCTGAGTACCGTTGTTGCCACACTTTTTTATACACTAATTGATTTATCGAGTAAAAACCTGCTTTGCGGGTTGTTTATAATTTTTGTCTCAATAATTAATTAACGAATATCAATAAAACTGTGCAAAATATTGGTTGAAAAGAATTCAAGTTAAATAAAATTAAAAATTTATGTGTGACACTCGATTACTTTTAATCTTATATTATTTATAAGTTTAATTTGTTACGGTGACTATCACGCCATAAGACGATCACATGTAAGCTAACAATTATTTAAAAATTGCAAAAACTTTAAAAACGACACACAGTGGGATCAATTTGAAATTTGTAACTTTTGTTAATACTTTTTGCTATACATCCCAAACATCCTTAATCGAAATGATTGAACTTAAGGATCATGAGGATATAAAATAAGATGACGATGAGCTTAAAGAGAAAGATAAAAAGAAAAAAACAAAATAAAAGCAAAGAAAAAGAATAATAGAAGAGGGGAAAGAAAAAAAGAAAGAAAGAAAATAAGGAAATGATTTTTCTTCTCGTATCGGTTATATAATATAATCTAGTTTTGACGACCGCGTCCCAACGGGATGAGAAGATCGAAACGACGATCGTTCTCTTTTTACACCCATTGGTAAAAACTCAGCAGTTCGATATATATTACATTTGTCAAGTTCGGGTTGCATCGGAAAATATACCGATTAGAAATATAAACTTCCAAGGGAACCATGAAGACGTCGTACGTGATAAGGGGAACGATGATGAATAGTAAATGATAAATAATAAATAAGCCAAAATGAAAAGAAATAAAAACAAAAAAAAAAGAAGTTGGAAGTGAACAATAAGAAGAAAAAACAAGAACGTCTCTCTCGTTCCATTGGTCGAGCGATGGTGGTGGCTACCATGTAGTCAAACAGAATATCCACTTCGGATTGCCTGAGAAATTAAGATATATGTAGTATATGAATGCATGGGTCCGTAGCGTGAATGTTTCAAATGATTGACGCAACCGATGTGATATATTATATATATATATATATACACATATATACATATATATATATATATATATATATGTATATGTTTTTATTGCATGTGTGTGTGTGTGTGTGATGCGAGAAGGGATATGTAAGCATATGAGTGTGTACGTTTAAAAAAAATAGAAAAATGCGAAAAAATGATGATCGATGAGAAGGATAATTTTAAATGGGAAAAAAAAAGAAAAAAAAAAGAAAAGAAAAGGAAAAATGGAGAAAGAAATCCGAAGAAAGAAATTTCCACGGGATATCTCCGCGCTTGGCCTGTTGTGCTATTTTCATTTTTCTCCTGTCGTTTGCGTACGCGTTCGCAGATAATTGATGAAGAGAAAGAATACACAGACTTCGATAATGTACGGCTGATGAATAGAAAAAAGGATTTGTGTACATATTAATGGGAAAAAAAAAAGAGAAAAAGACAAACAAAGAAATAATGAGAAGAATATGCATAACTGTAAAACACATCGCAATATAAACATCCATAATTTAAATACGCTACGATAATTATGCAATTGTAATCGATACATACCTATAAAAAAAAAACTACATTTTAGAAATGAAATTATAATGCAAAGCGATACATCATATGCATATATAGTTATATATGTATAATAATAATATTATTAATATTAATATTATTATTATTACTATATTACTATTACTATTATTATTATTATTTTATTAT